TAAAATTTTTTAATCTTATAAAATTGTTATCATACATACTTTTCTAATTGACACAATGTAAAAATTTTTCAAAGTAGTGCAACAATTATTTTTTGAGGCAATATATATGTTCTCTCTGTAATTGGCGCTGTAATTTAAAGAGATATCATTTCTTTTTTGTAATTGTAATAGATCACTTAAAGCGCGACTCTTCTTTTTGATAAGGTAACATAATTTTGTGATGTGTATCACTTGGGTTATAATTTTTCGGAAATAAAGATACTACTGCTTAGATTTCTTCAAGATTTTTCGAGATATAAAGATTACGTCTACCACTTGTTACTTAGGTTTTTTCGATGTATAATACTACCACTTTCTTTTTTTTTTTAATGAGATAACTACATATACACTACTATGCGTGTACTTGGCGCCTTTTTTTACCTTTTTTTTTAAAAAGGTATAGTTATCCACATTTGTCGAAGTGAATGTTGCCTAATCAAGAACGAAAACAAGCCGTTTGACAGCTGCCGAATTGAAATAAGTTTTTGCTTGCACATATTAAATCACGATAAAGTGGATATCTTCGGTGTATTTTAACACTATCACAATAATTTTAAATGTAAAAACACCGCACTAAAATGAAGAATAATGCTGTAAATCGCAAGGATAATTTTGCTTTGACGTGTCATTTTTTACGCCTTATAGTTTACAGTTTTGCCAAGTGTGACGCTGTCTGTGCGAAAACGCGAACCAGCAGGAGCCTTAATATAACAAGCACACGACATATGACAATGGTTACCATCATAAAATTTGAAATTTGCGTAAGGATGGAAATAAATGAGATATAAATAAACATATTAATATTTCTTCTGTGATTCAACATATAATATACAGTATACAATATGATAAGATATAATAAATACATACCTAGATGGTAAAATTGTAAATGTGTATGAGGATGGAAGCATAGATTGGCGCCAGCGATAATAGCCGCGTCGCATTCTCCGGATCGAATCAGCTCGTAAGCTTTCACTATAGCAACATTACTTGAACTACATGCAGTATCCAAATTATACGATGGTCCAATAACGTCAAGCCAGTAAGAAATTCTATTTGCCATGCAAGAAACGTTGCTTCCAATGATGGATGACCCAGCAAACTAATCAAAATACATATTTCTAAATATATGTGAAGTATTAAAATGTATAAATAATAAGTTAAATGTTTTTAAAGCTGTTAAAATTATTGTATAATTTTTCTATATTTTACATAGTAATAAGACAGATTTACATATTTGCAACAAGAATTTTGCAAGGAATTTTGCAACAAGAATTTTCGGTCGAATTATCATTTCTTTAAATAAATTTCTATTAATTGTGTTGTATCCAATAATTAAATATATCACACCTCAGAAGGTTTAAAAAGAAAATTTGTACGAGTTTCAGCTATAGTAATTGCTGTAAAAACACTCGTTCTTGTTCCCCGTAATTCTTTGGGATTCACACCCGCATCGATAATTGCTTCGTAAGTATGCTCGAGTAACATTCTAATCATAGAATCCATTGTATGAGCTTCCATGGCGGGTATATTAAAAAATTCTGAGTCAAATTTCTCAGTATTGTTGACTTTACCGATTCGATGGGGCATATGATAAGCTATATAAGAAATGAGTATATTATTAAGTAACAAGTAAAAAGGGGCTTTGAGAGTACAATGCGACAAACAATGCGTGAGTTAACGTAACATCGATCTTTAATAACTATAATAGGATAAATAATTATACATCGGATGTTTCGGCTTTGCTTGAAACCATTTTCAGCGGTAACAAAATAATCTCACGCTCTCTGGCGAGAAATAAAGTGAGTAATTTCAAAATTTGGTGGATTAATTATAATGTAATTTTTCGCGAGAAGACTTAGTTAATATCATAGTTTATAATAAGAAAAAAGGAAATAACAGTCAGAACTTGAACAACAAAAGAAGTGAAGTCACTCCACTCAGCTCAGAAAACGCGAAAATAAGCTCAATGTTTATAAGAATATTTATACGTTATATGCATATACTTCTTTCTATATAAAAAAATAATAATGCTCTAAAAGATTCATAATATATATCTGGATCGTTTTTTTTACCTATAATATTAGAAATAACAAAGTCATGAAAATGTTTGAATAAAATGTATATATATGTATAATGTAATACAGTTTTCTTGATGATTTTGACATCATTTTTAAAGATTATTAAATTAGATATTGCAAATCTTTAAATACGATCAACATGAAATTTGAATACTTTATTTAATAAGTTTTGAGATTATATCTTAATGTAAAAAGAAAAATTTATTACTGTTATTCCACCGTTCATGATCACTCGAACCAAGATCCACCTTGTTAAAAAGATTTTCTTGGAGTTCTTTTAAATTGTCACTATTAGGAAATCGGCCAGCAATACCAGAGATAACGATTTCTTCTTCAGCATCGATGCTGATATTCGAGTTCGGTCGATTCATAGTATCTTAATTTTTGTTCAAAGCAGATAAATTCTACAACGAGATGCCATTATTTATTTTTTGAGAAAACAGACATAAATATATATAAAATAAAAAAAAAACAATCAAATACAATTTAATACTACATACACGTACTAATAGGAAGTGGAAGCAACGTGGCAATTGAAACACTCAAGATTGAAGTTAAAGCGTAACTAAAGCACATATCTCCGATCCTCTCTACTTTATCGTTTATATATTAACTTTTTTGTACATACATATTAATGTTGGAGCCGATTAAAATTTCGAATAGTTGAACACCTGACGCTTTCATTATCGCATGTTTACCATACAATCGTGGAACTGAGATAGACACAATTTGCTAATATGTAATAATATAATGAATTCAGAAACAGTATAGCAAGAAATTACCGTTTGTTAAGCTGGTTGAAGTTTGGAACGTTCCTGGAGCGATTTTTTTTTAAATTCTTATATTTCTGCTTTGGCACAGAGGAACTTGAGTGCCACACACAAAATACATAAAAGCCCAATCCGTTACACGAAAAACACCTTTATACTAAAAAAAACCTACTCATAGATCACTTTAAGCATTCTCATGCTATGCTGAAAATGATTTTTTCCATTTCTCCTTTGGCACAGAGGAACTTCTGCCAAGTTGCGCTTGCGTGAGCGCACTACGGGCGCGTGGTTTACTGATGTAAAAAACGGTCCGGCTAAAAAACTGTGCTGATTGAATTGACTTTACACAATAATTACTGCTTTATTAAGTATTATAGAAAAAAAGGCTCAGGACTTTTCAACTCAATTTTTGATAAAAAATAGCGCTATGTAGTTAGGCGATCTTTAAGAAACATCCTAATAAAATTGTCTTAATTTTTTTGTACATTGAATATAAAGGGAGATTGTTTTAAATACATACATATGTCAAAATCGGTAATTTGCATTTAAAAGATGTTGTCGTCCCAGTGTCCCCTTATAAATTGACAATTTAATACTTATGTAGGGGAGACCGGGGCGAAGTTGTCACTATTTTTTCGGTGCCGATTTTTAACAACAAAACAAATAATTTTAGTGAAATATAATATACCATTGTAAAGAGTAAACCCTTGGCTACATTTATATAGGTTTTATAACACCAGTTGTTGCTGAAAATCTATAAAAATCGTTGCAATAAGCAAATTTTATTTAACTACCAAGTAAATTAGGATTGTATACTCTATTTACATTACACATAGTTCCTACCATATACTTACGTTGCTAAAATCATCTTACTATATTTTAACTAAATATTTTAATTGCTTATAAAAATTGGAATTTGCAATTTCTGTAACTTAAAATATTTTTATAAAAGAGATTGTCTCCTTAGCTTTAAAATGTCTTTTTGAAGATTTCTCTACAAATATAACCAGAGATATTAATTTTTAAAGTTAACACCTTCATTTTTCGTAAAAATGATATTACTTATAACTTTTGCAGAAAAATATTTCGAACGAACAAAAAAGTGCCTATCTTCTTATTTTATGTATATTTCATGTAAAAAAGTTTCGATCGATTTTTAAACATTCAAGGCCATTGATCGTCCGATTTGACGTAGAATTGTCCATATGCATTAAATGTCAAAGTATACCGGATGTTAAGAATCTTAAATGTATGAATACATTATGCTAGCGATGCATTAGGCTAGATATAATGCGATTTATAAATCATTGCATTTTCGCATATCACGAAAGAATTTATTAATAAGTAAAATAAAGATGTATTCGTTCTTATATAAAAAACTAAATTGATGTTTAGGCAAGTGTGTGTCGGAATTGTATCCTTTCTTCAAAAAAGAAAAAAACAAGCAGATTTTGCATAGGGGAGACCGGGGCGAAGTCCTCACTATTTTTTCGGCGCCGATTTTTAACAACAAAACAAATAATTTTAGTAAAATGTGGTATACCGTTGTAAAAAGTGAACCCTTAACTACAAAATTTATACGGACATTTTTAGTCTACGTCGCTTTGTTCAACTGGTATAGTGTGATAAAACGACAAAAGTGCAAAAATTGAAATGTCAAAATTGCCGGGGTGGAGTCGTCACTCCATTCTCAGACTGAATTTTTAATTGAAAATTCATAATTCCGATCATAAAAAATGATAGGATACATTTTATTAATTATTTTTTAATAGAAAAATAAAAACATTAATTAAAAACACAATGGCGGAAAATAATTACAAGAAAAGCGCACACACTTATGTGCCCTACGCTCGTACGTTTCTCGTCAGCCCTATTCTGTCATCTCTGAGCACACGCAGCACATATTATCCAAGTCCTCGCCGGAATCCGACTGCTGCTTCTTTGACTTTGATTTTTGCCGGAAGCCTCCACGATATGGCTTGGTGACAACTTTGCCCCAGACACAAGTTTCAAGTTTGGTCGCTCATAAAATATTACAAATCAATGAAAATAAAAAACTTTACTGGATTCGTCTTCAGCATGCATTACTCTTTAAAATCATTTACTTTGAGATTCGAAGACACAATAATATTTAAGATATTACAAATTTTCGACGTGTAAAAAATTTTACTTTCGACCTCCGAAAACACGTTTGTCTCGATAAGAATCACAACATGGCACATAACCTCACTAAACTCCGTTGGTCATGTTGGGCACCATAAGCCACGTTTACAGTATTAATGGCGAGTTCACACAACATACAGATTTCGAGATAATTGCAATGACGACTTCGCCCTGGTCTTTCCTACAATACATATCCCCAAGCATCCTTTATACTCTTACTTATCTGCACACACGTCATTTACCTGACCATTCTCCGGTTTACAAGTAACGCATTACTTCCCAAATCTGCTTATTAGTTATTAAAACGTTAATTTACACACTACTAACGGCGTTGTACTTTCAAACCAACCTTTTTATTTGTTGCTTGTTATTCTCATTATCAAGAGTTCTTAATTATATTATAGTAGTCTTGTACTGACCGAACATGCTGGAATATCCTTGTTTAGATTTTTTTACAAGAGGCAAAATTATTTTTTATATTATATATTTATATGTATATGTGTAATAAGGAATAATAAAAAATTAAATTTTATTTAAATCCATATAATTCATGCGTAACGTAAAAATGTGCACTGATTTAACCCTCGGTGGTCATACCTTTTTTTTTAAACATTTTTAAACGGATTTTTTTGAACAAGATGCCACTGAAAAATTTAGTTTTTTATAATAAGAATTTATTCTACAATGTTTAAACTTAATTCTAGAATTTTTTGCGATCCACTTAAACTGTTAGTTTTCGAACAGCATGCAGTTGTTTGAAAAATGGTTGGGATTACTTTGACCCCATGTAACCACCGAGGGTTAATCATATTGCATGTTATGTCTACTTTGCATAATGTCGTCACGCATTTACGCATTTACAAATATTTTTTCTTTTTTTATTTACTCCAAGCATATTTACAATCTGTCAAATCGTGACATTAAGCAAATTTTATTATTAAGAACAGCATGTAGGAGTAATTCCAGTGAATTACGTCCCTTTAATTACTTAAATGTTTTAACTCTTGAGTTTATTACTACCTTAGTTGTGTCTATTAATTTAATCTAATGGTTTGCACCGCTTAAGTTTGCGTCTATCCGCAGTTTCGGTAAGTAGTTCATTCGCAAATTGATTAGGGTGTGAATCCAATCTGTCCGCATATTTCAGGGTATAGTTTGCTATTACTTTATTAACAATTTTAATGTTCAGGTCTCGTCTGATAATTTCGTTGGTTACGAACCACGGCGCATCTACTATTATTCTCAGAATTTTGGATTGAAACCTTTCTAAAATTTCTATATTTGAATTGAAGGCAGAGCCCCACAGCTGAATGCCATACGTCTATATTGGCGTAATAATTGTTTTATAGAGCAGAACTTTGTTGTTTAAAGATAGTTTTGACTTTTGAGTGAGTAGTCAATACATATTTTTGAGCCTAATTCCCGATTGCTTCTTTTTCTGCCATATATGCGTCTTAATAGTTTGCCTTATGCGTCTTAAGTTTGCCTTCGATCTAAGTGAATTTCTAAGTATTTCGCTGAGTCTGCTTGAGGTACCTCAGTGTTGTTTAACTTTACCGGTGGGCATGAATCTTTGTTCAGTGTGAAAGTGACGTGTACTGATTTTTTTTTCATTAGCCTTAATTCGCCAAGTTTTTAGCCAGGCTTGTATTTTGTTGATGTTTCTCTGAAGAATACTCGACGTTTCTTTGGAATTTTTGTGCGATGCTAAGATTGTTGTGTCATCCGCGAATGTTCCCGTTATTGTTTGTTCTGTTGTTGGTAGGTCGGCAGTAAAAATTATAGATATTAAGGCCGTAGCACATAGAAAAACTTAAGCACTAAAGCTTAAGCAGTAAGTAAATCAGCCAATCACAGTCAAGAACTTAAGGCACGGTCCTAAGCAGTAGCGAATCCATATCGATGATTTCTTTACTGCTCAAGTTTTACTGCTTAAGTTTTTCTATGTGCCATGGCCTTAACAGGGGTCCAAGGACACTGCCTTGTAAAACTCCGAATCTGATGGGCTGTAATTCTGAGTATTTTTCTAGGAGTTTTATTATAAAATGTCTATCTTCTAGGTATGATTTGAGTAAGAGATAGTAGTTATGCGGTAGTAATTTTTTAATTTTATATAATAAACCTGAGTGCCAGACTTTGTCAAAAGCCTGGGTGATATCCAAGAACACCGCTGAACAATACTCTCTATTTTCCAGAGCATTATTTTACAAATATAAAGAGTATATATCCGCTAAACTTTGACATCTGGTGCATATGCTAATTTTAATTGTATGTAAAATTGTTAACCGATGCCAAATACACAGAAAGAACGACTAACTGACTACGTCATTGCATATACGTTAAGACGTTACCAAGTTTATTTGAAATTTTGGCGAAACAATTTTTTGAGTAAAATATTTGCGCAAAATTGTCGGTTGCGACCAGAATAAAATCGGTGCAATATATCTCGAGATTTTTCGAATAATTTCAATTTTCATACGTTCGGACACATTCACAACAATTTTGTCTGTCAAAAAGCTTTTACAATGTCTGCATACAAAATTATTAAAATTAAGCAAATGTAAGCAAGTGTAAGTGTAAGTGAATTGATATGCACACATACATGATCATTTTTGATAATGCAGACAAGATAGACTAGAGAGTGTGGAGAGG